GCTATTGGCAGTTAGGTGCCAAAATTGCCTTTGAAAATGTACTTTGAAACGACCAAAGCTGAGAATATTCACTTGCCACAAAATTCAAGCCAATATGATCATATTGGGTTCTCAAAAAACTAAATATGATTTAGCAAAGATATTTCTAAAGTTATCATGCATTGTGCTAAAAACCTTTTAGCAGGTATCAGTAAGGTTTCAAGACTTTGAGACTGTCCTGTAAAAGTGGGTTTTTGTTACTTTTTAAAAAGATGATTTCTTTCAAAAATTGAATTGAAAGTATTGCCAATATTTTGGTCTTTTTGGCTTCAAACTATAGACTGATGGCTTCACAAAAGTGGTTTGAGTTTCATGGACTGTGGTGACCAGGAGGGAGGTTCGGAAAGGGCCTAGGCATCCCGTGCGGTAGTGTAGAGGAGGGAATAGGCAATTATAAAGCCTAGTTTTTTTAAGAAAATACATTATTCCCAGGTGATAGCTGGGTGATTTGTTTGCGCAAACTATCAGGTAACTAAAATCTTAAAATGTTTCCTTGTTTAATTAACAAAAGCTTCATATAGAGTAAATTAGGGGCCAGGCATTTTTGGCGGTAGGCCCGAGGTGGAAAATAGGTAATGTTTCACTGCAGACATTTTACCAACCGTTTGTGTTCCTGCTTAGGGCTCCTAGATTCGTACCAAAAAATTACTCTAGAATGTAAGTTTAAAAAATCTTCTTCGTAGAAAAACGTAAATTTTTTTCCCGGGCAAAAGTATGAGGGTAGGTTTTGCTCCACAGCAACTGTGTTTTGATTTGAAATATTGAAAAATCAAGCTCGAAATGGAAGCCGGTGATTGGCTAATGACATTTTGTAAACAAACCCGCTGATTGGTCTAGAACAAAATGTGCTCTTGTTCAGTAATATATAAAAATAAAGCTGATGGCTAACAAGTCCTAGAAGTTTCTAAAAACAATTTTTCTAATATGAATTTAAAGATTTAAATATTTTTCCAGATTTGTCACAAAATTGCAAGTCCCAATAAATAAAGCTGATGGCTAGCAAGTCCAAAAAATTTCTAATAAAAAAAATTGATAAAATTAATTATAAAAATTAAATATTTTTCCAGATTTGTCACAAAACTGCAATTATTGAATTACAGATTTCATTCTGAGTGCAATAGCTCTATTTAAAAATGCATTTTTAAGCTAAACATGAAAATTTAAGGGTTAATTTTAATGAACTATGATATTGGGACCATGCCCACCACTAAATTATTTATATGTCAGTGACTGATTTAACTTTATTTCAAAAATCTTAAGAAGTCATAAAGCTCTTTACTACTTTGCTACTTTTACTACAACAGAAAGTGGTTTACTACTGCTCCTTTGCTAAAAGTCTTATGGCAGGGGCTGCAGTACCCCTGAACTCAATAGCGATATTTTTTCTAAGAACTATTTTGCATTAAAATGTCACAACAATATTTTTTGTTTGACAATCTGTGTGCAGTCCAAGAGGAATTTTAGGGATCTAGGACCCATTAAGGTCTTGAAAGTGATGTTGGCTGCAGCACTGAACAATGTACTTCAAGCGGTTTGGAAAACCAACAACACTTGCAAAGAGGAGAAAATAGTATATTGCTGGTGAACTGTATATCACTATCAATGTAAGATCATGCCTTATGCAATTTATTTCTTTGCAAAAAATTCAAGAACAAGCTTTTTTCCTACACTTACCTGGGCACTCACTTATCACTCACTTAGGCAAAGCAAATCTTGGATTGCCTGATGTTCACAGGTCCTAAAATTTTTGGGATCTCATTGTCCAATAAATGTTACCTTCATGTTTTGCAGCTTTCCATCCAGTATAACATTGACAGTGTTGATTTCAAATTAACATTTCATGTTTTGCAGCTTTCCATCCAGTATAACATTGACAGTGTTGATTTCAAATTAACATGTTTAATTTTTTTGCGGTACAGAATTTGAAAATGTCTTTGAAAAAAGCAAACATTTTACAACATACTTAAGCTTTTTCGTCTGACACTCCTCAGAGCATAAACCGTCAGAATAAGGGTCCGAAAGAACATGATGAAAAATGAATACCCAGTTGTGGATCAAAATAGGCCAATCAGAAAAACGCTCTTGTGCTTGCGTTTTAAAAAATATCTCTAAATTTTTGCTATTCATTTGGTCTCTTCAGGAAACTTGGCAAACATTTTGTTTTGATTCTTATAAAATATGCTGTAGTTTTATTATGCTCTCTCGATTAATTAACCTATTTAGAGAGCTCCTCCTAAATCAATCAATCTTAAATACAACCATGTAAAGTTCTTTTTCTGTGATCTTCAATGTTACTTTATTTTTGTGTAGTGCGGTATTTTTGTATGTATTTAGGTGTAGTGTATTATGTAGAATTGTATTCAGGATTGATTGATGAGATTGAAATTGAAAACTGAAAAACTGGCAGCACTGCAAACTGATACTTAGAATGAGCTTTCATCACAAATTACATCGAATGTCAAAATCTATGTCCGAATATCCGGCAAAACCTGAACAGTCCTTATTCAAATGGAAGGAGGACAGTTGCATGCATTGCATCATAGAGAAAAGCGTTTCCTTTTTTTCAAATGTACAAAGAAAAAGCCCTTCTTGTTACACTACTGGACAAATACAAAAAAATTCTTCACTTTTTTATCATACAATTGTTGATAAATAAAAACCCATACCATATTCTCTTCACCACTTCGGAAGTAAGACTCCTTCTCGTTTGTATGTTTTGGAACCTTTTGCATTTCGTGATAATTTCAAATTAACTTCCCGCCATATGTTCGAAGGGCCTCGTTCCCAATGGAAACAGATTTCCGAAAGAGAGGCTTTGAAGGGCCTAATAAATTTCCAGCTAACAGTTATGGCGGAAGAAACTTGGAAAGAGTTTTTCGAGAAATTGGCGCTCAGCCTTGTTGAGTACGCCGCCCGCAGCCCTAAAGAATTCCTCATGTATTGTGAGTATCCCAAAATTAACCTAATATAACATCTCAAACGATTGATAACCCTTGTTTTGATGTCTAGACAAGAGGCTCCATACAATCTATCTTACTCTTTCTTTCCTTGAATGTGTATGCTAATGATTTCACCTTCCGATGTATTTTTTTCTGTAACTTTGTCTTATTTTATTGTAGTTTTGCTAATTTATTTGTTGAATTATTGTGATAAATTGTATGTAGTGGGCAGGCGCGGATCCAGCCTGAATTCTGACCTATGCAAAGGTTGTCAGAAGAAGAAGCCACGCCCTTTTGAGCTGAAAACACCCAAACTTTTCTCAATAAAATTTGTATCTCTGATATTGAATAGGGGATTCAAGAAAAGAATTCTAAGGAAACGACTCGCAAAGAGAAGATTAATTTATCTGCAATTTGAAGGAAAAATACGGTGGCCCACAGGTGCCACGGCAAAAATTACTTTCTCACGGCAAAACTTTCTTTTTCACGGCAAAACTTTCTTTTTTCACGGCAAAACTTTCTTTCTCACAGCAAAACTTACTTTCTCACGGCAAAACTTACTTTCTCATGGCAAAAGTTTCTTTCTCACGGCAAAACTTTCTTTCTCACAGCAAAACTTTCTTTCTCACGGCAAAACTTTCTTTCTCAGGGCAAAACTTTCTTTCTCGCGGCAAAACTTTCTTTCTCACTTCTGACTTATGCTTCTGCACAGGTTGCTGTAGTCTGGATCTGCCTCTGGTGGGATTAAAAATTAAACTGAGAACTTGTAGTTACACTTGGGCCTTTAAGATCACCGTAAAGCCATGAGATTTGCTGACATCTTGTCTTTTTGTATTATTATTTTTACGCATAAATACTTCATTCAATTCTTCAGAAATATGTAAATATTCAAAACATAGTAATTCAAAACATGAAGCAATATTCTTATTTATTCCTGGTAGAAAGTTTTGAATTCTGATGTTTGAAATTGATCTTGTAACATTACCCTTAAGTCCCTTAAGTGTCATTGCTTATTTTCCATCATGTACAAGTGAGAAATCTTTTTCTTATGTTTTAAAGCACTTTGTTTAATGTGAAGAAATGAAATATGAACACTTTGTAATAGTGTTCAGATTAATTGATTAACTAAATGACAGAAGCTACACTTTTGCTAAAGAGAATTTTTTTTCTAGTTTTCTTGGCACTAAGTCCAATCATGATTTGCAGTGCAATCTTAGCATATATGATGATCAAAGAGATTGACCAAAAAGAAAGAGACAAGAAAAAGAAAGGTTTGTATTATTTGTTCATTGCATTTTTGCTTATCTAGGTTAATCTAAAGTTGCTTTAGAGGTGTTAGGTTCATTAGAGGTGTTAAATCATTTCTTAAACAATCCTTCTAGGTCTGGTTTTTCCCCGAGGGTCTTAGTGCAGACTTTCAACACACATTTCCTTATTTTTGTGAGAGACAATGGTTTGTGTTTGCACAATTGAAAAATAACAACCATAGCCAGCCAAAGACAACCAAAAACTTTCTCAAAGTCATGTCTAGTCATATCAATAATTGAAGTTTGGGTAATCAAGGATGAACTGCACTTTAATCGTTTTCAACATGCCAGTATATTGGCAAAAACATTCTATCGAGTCAAATTAATGCAGCATTTCCCCTCCATTACAATACAGTCTTTAAATAATAATACATTTTTTGCTGCTTGTCGTTTATTCCTTTTATATGTTTGTACTAAGCTTTTAAAGCAAATTATGAATCTGTCTTTCCTGTAAATTAATTTGTTATTCTTATAATCTCTTCTAGTTCTTCTTCTTTTTGTTACCAGTCACATGTTGTAGTTTCCAGGCCCACAGCCTTTCTGCTCCTCGTTTGCTCTAATAGCTGGACATTGACTTTCTCTATTTACACAAAGTGTATTGCATTGTCTTCTTTGAGAACTTCGCTTTTACTTTGCCATTTTGAATGGAGTCAAGCTAACCCCCCCCCCCCCCAACCTTTCCAAAATATATTTGTCCTCCACTTTGATGTTTCCTCCACGCTCTGTTACATTTTGTCCCTTTCATAATGACTTATTTTTCATTTGAATGTCTATATTCAATAGAAGGATGTTCACAGAAGCATTTGGAACATCCAGTAGAGCTTGTCTTTTCCTCTGCTTTATAACAAATCTCTTCTCTCATATGGTCACCTTTTTTCAGCTCCTCACTCTTCCTTTCATTCAGACCAGTTGAGCGATCTCATTTTCTAGTTACCCAATGCCTATAAACAAAGACTGAATTTACAAAACTGAATAAAGAAAAACAGCATATTTATGTATTGCCTAGTACATTTGATTGCTGTTAAAACTTTAATATGCTTTTTTCTGATTTCAATTTTGACTAATTTTCTAAAGTTAATCAGTCACAAGTGTCCTGGCTTGATTTAAGTATATGCTGCTAGTTGTATGTTCTACTAGTTTAATAATAATTCAGTATTGAAAACTACATTCATAAAAGGTGAAAAATCTTAAAATCTTGAAAAACAACTTATAGAAATCTTGTTTTTCTTTGCCAGGAACAAGACAAACAAATTTGGCAAAAACAAGGAGAAAAGCAATGAAAACGGACTAAGTTTGTTGCTCCATTTTTTTGCTTGAATGTTTCACACATGCAACATACAGGCCTAGTCAGCCACACAATGGAACTTGTTTATGGATTTATCATCAGCGGTTAATTGCAACTCCTACTGACACTGTTTGATCAAACTTGATTTATGTATATTGTCACTTTTTGATATGTTCTTATTGAAACTTAACATAAGATGACTAATATTACATTTATGAGAACTCTCCTTCACTTTGTTCAAATCATTAGAGTCTTCAAAGTTTCTGTAGATTCATGAAATTTTCTCAGATTAATCAGAAATCTTATTTGCTGCTAAGATCGTTTGTAGATTGATCAAATATGTGTGGTTGAATTTTGAGTAACTGGACTTGCTCAAAATGTTTCACCAGATTTGCACTTAAGGACCTTTTTAGTTTGTTCTTATGATTTTAATTGTTAATTGTAAAGTTAATTGTCTCATCGAAGCTCCCCAAATCACACTCTAGCTTCAATATTTGATTTGAGTTCAATAACATATTTTATTATGTATTGTTCCTTTAATGTGTCTTGTGTTAAAATGCACTGATTGTAATTTCAAGACTTCTGATTTTCAAATTTAAATTGTTTTATTTTATTTGGCAAGTTAGAAAACAGAAGTTTTTGTTTTAGTTTTAGTTTTTGTTTGTTTGTTTGTTTGTTTGTCTGTTTTTTATTTGTTTGTTTGTCTGTTTTTTATTTGTTTTCGTCTGTTTTTGTTTGTTTGTTTCTTTGTTTTCTGGTTTTTATTCCATGTAAATATATGACTCAGTATGTTTTACATGTGTTTATTAATTACTTCATGCCATTGTTTATAGGGAAATAGATTTATCTTTGTTTATTTGTTAGTGGTTGCATTTTAGATCAAGAAGATTCTTTTTTCTGAAACACTGTATTGATTTATGGGGTTTTAAAATGTTTTATACCTTTTTAAAGCATATTGTTTAATCTCAATCTTAGAACATATTTTTCTTTCTTTGTGAACTAATAAATGAGCATAAACAAGTAGAATGGGTTGACTTGATTCTAATTTGTGGCAATCTCACATAAAATGTGAATTCAAGATTGTTCAGCATCTTGTATATAATTTTTAACCGGTTTTTTAACAAAAAGAAAGGTTATATCAATTTTATTCTCTATTTTTCCCATTTCTTGGGATTTTACACTTTATATAAAGTAAAGGAAATAAACTCAAACATGTTAGATGTTTTGCATCTGGTCGGAAATAAAAAATTCGTTACTAGTTTATCACCACACACGGAAGAAATTCGCTTGAGCATAAATGGCACGAGTGCCACTGTGCTTGAGAAAAATTCTTTCATGTGTGTCTCGCATTAAAACCATTGAAAAAATCAGAGTTTGCTAAAATACATCTGCAAAAATGGAAGGCTGCATCAAACATCTCTCAGCGCACATAGTAACTGTTTTAGTGAAAATGATATTTAGCAGATGTGACACGCAGCTAGTGGACCAGAGGGTCTAAAACTATAACAGTTTAAGCTTATATTTTATATTCTGACGCCGGTGGTCCTTGAAAGGAACAAACAAGAAGATCCCCTCAAATTCTTGAGTTGTCTTGCAAATGAGTCTTTTACGTAATCTCTGTCCGTTATTAGAGCGCATGCACGAAACTTGTAGCCTGCCATGTAGGCGTTGACAGACGTCGCCATTCGGATAGAAGAAATATTTAGAATTCTTGAATATTCATCTTAACCAATATCTGAGAAGTGTACTACATAAAGATTAATGAAAAGGGAAATCTCTCTTTTGCTTGAAAGCGTCGGGACATCAGTTGAATTTAATCTGTAGGAAGTGAAGTTATTCGTTTTCGCTGCCATTTCCTAAAAGAAGCCGAGGTCCGGATAATCTCTGTTTGATCTCTCTAATGATCTAAAGATAAAAAAAATTTTCAAAAACTTTCACTCCTGCAACCTTTTTCAGTTTTGCTCCTCGTTTTTATGAACAACTCTGCAAATCATTTGATAATGAGCAAAAGTAGCAATTCGATTAACTATTAAAGGAAAACTTCACGTCATATTTTTATGTAATTACGCCAGTTCTTCGATAGGCGCAAATTTTGAAAGAAAGAAGGCAATAGAAATGCAGAAAAGCAACACGTTAATTATGCGAAACTTAAGATAATCTTCATTTTGCAGTAAAACAGATAATTCTGACTATTTGAATTGGCCATCTGCAAAATTCTTAAGTTTATCAATTAAGAGTGACTAAATTGAATAACCAAATTTATAAATCTCGATAAAATTGTTGGTACTACTAAAAAGTTCGGATAGCTTTATCAAATTTTTTTTGACAGCATTTTTCAGGCAAAGGCGTACTTGTATAGAAAGCTGTTTTTTAACTTATGAATCAGAAGATATCTTGCTTGAACTTTTAAAGGTATTAAAGCTTAAAATAAGTTAGACAATAGTTTTGAATTTTGTTCAAGAAACAAGATACGGGTAAGGTAAAACTTCCGAAACAGACTTTTAGAAACCAGGCTTTTTGTATCCGAATTTGACGGTATAAAGTTTATGATTTTGTAAAATTATAAAAAAGGTTTGAAAATTTTTACCTTCTGTCAGATTTTGACCTGACTTGAGATTCATATCCTTAATTGTGACTTCCCAAAATGTTTTTTACGAAACTCGAAACTCTGCGTTCAGTTATCAAGAAAACAAATGCTAGCTGAACCAAGTTGGCAAATAAGACACAAGTTAATCATTTTCTTTAACAGTTATTATGCTTGAGAATGTGTAACATCAATTTTACCTGCTTAGATTCGTAAATTAAAGCTGTTTCAACTCCTATTCTTCTGCTGAATCACTAATGCCGATACAACATTTTGTTAAGCCAAATTGCCACCCCATCTCCAAAACTGACTTCCTCACTGTGGTTTCTCAATCATTTTATTTATGTTTGGATTTCATGATACTTTCAAGCGGAAAAGGAAACTCTTCATATTTACAAATGGTCCAGACAAAGTAACTATCATCTCAAATAAGGATTTAACCGCGGCATTCGTTCAGTCCTCGTGCCAGGGCAGATGATTTCGCGTTTCCATGCCAAGGCAGATGACGAGAAACAGTTTCTTTAAAGGTAAGTGGCTTGATCTTTCCATACTTATTAAGTAGATCATGTGTCTGGTACTTAATCGTCAAATTGAAATGCTATTACTACTAGAGGTAACTTTCGAATATTGTTTTGAACAGATGGGTGTGGCGTTTTCTTCTTCTATTGATACCTGCCTATCTTGTAAATGTAGCTTTAGTTATAAGGCCTTTTAAAGACCCTTTAAGAGATCATAGCAAATTCCAGATCACCATTGTTGTATAGATAGTACTTTTTCATGTATAGATTCTTTATCTGGTATTTGACTTTCCCTTCTTCACTTTCTCCCTCTCCTTTTCGAAAAGTTATGAAACTACCCAGTTATTTGATAGATCTTGCCTATGCAAGTGATTCTGCAGCAGATTATCATCATTGTTATGATACCATACTAAAGTCCTGTTCTTGCCGATTTACAGAGCAGAATAAGAAGATTGGTGGTTTAAACCTCATGTCATATTACTTGTTATCCTTCATGTCGCCTTCACAGTTACACAAGGATGAGCCAACCAGCAGATACCAAAATACAGCGAAATCTCTAGTGAGATTAAAACGAAGGGATCAGACATTCGCACAGTTAATACGTCATTTTGTTCTGCTTTATAAGTTCCTAGGTCACTAAATCCTCATCGGTTCCATTCATGCATCTTTTAAAGTGTCGGCATTATCTACGTCTTTCTCTTTAGTTTGATGCTACAAGACTGCCGTAAGGTTAAGACTGTCGTTGGCAAAGAACCATTGGCAAGAGGACTTGTGAAGGGTAGATATTAAGAAGTCTACTAGGGGCTGGTAAGAAGCAAATGTTTTTTAATTAGCTAAATGTTAATTAGCAATTTTCTTATCTGGACCTAACAGCAATCAAGTTTAAAGTCTTGTTTAGACACAGAGCTGATTAGAGTCTTTGTATCTCAAGAGTTCTAGCTCAAAAGCACTCAAACCTCTCATGTATTTTGTGTCACCCTTTAACGCTATAGTTCAAAGTTAGACATTTTTAAATAGAAGACCCCAATATTTTACCATATTAAACGCTTTAGTCTTGTGTTTTATTTATTTAGGCTATAGTCTATTGTAGGTAGTTGCTGAGAATCTAAAAATGAACTTACCGTAAAAGCTCTATTAAGCCCCCTCTCTCTATAAGCCCCCTCTCTCTATTAAGCCCCCTCTCTATTAATCCCCTCCTTATCAAATAAGAACTTAAAATAAGCCCCCACTCTCTATTAACCCCCCCTCCCCCTCTTTAGTTTTTGCTGTCAAACAAGAAAAATGTGCGCATTGAGTGGGTCGCTTGACGGGTGTGATGATAAAAAGATCATGTGCATTTAATACGGCCCATGTAAAGGCTTACTTGTGCGACTAAGAAGTCAGTCAAAATTTACATAGTAGATGAACCAGGGTTATCAATTGATTCTGGAGATTCTGATGAAGATTAGGACCTTAGACTTTGAAGCTGCTAGCGAAGTTTTCTGAAAACATCTGTGTGACATTTTTATAACAAAAAATAGAAGGGCATTTTTAAAACGATTTTACATCAAATTTTTAATAAGCCCACTCTCTCTAATAAGCTCCCCTCTCCTTTAAGTCCCCCCTCTAGGACTGAAAAAAATAAGCCCCGCGGGGGCTTAATAGAGCTTTTACGGTATATCGCATACATTAACAGAAAATCTGCACCTGGACTTGAATGTGCCGCTTGATACTTACGCAAAGAGAGTGAAGTGATTCGTTACGAAACTTTGCTGTAAAGCATGCAATGGTTTTAGTAGGTTTAGACACAAATACGAATACTTTTTTGTAAGAAAGAAAGGTCGAGATTGTAAAGTTAACTTTCTCAGCGCTGCATCAATTTCTCGTTGCTTCTTTTGAGTATCTTAATTTTAATGCCATTTCTACCTTAAACTTGTGGGATCCTATGTAACTTTTCATGCTGGGAAAAGGTTCTATCTCATATTTTAGCATTTTATTTGACTACGGAAAATAAGAATCTTGTTAGCTGTGAAGAATTTTGTTGGTAGAGTCTAAAGTTTTATGCCAACCAGTAAATTCATATTGACTGAAAAAAACGAACTCTGTAGTGCCGTTTTTTGCAAAATAAAATTTTTCTAAATTTTTTGCCACGAGTACTGAAATTTTCTTAATTATAACATAATGCTCAGTACTCGTTTTTATAGCAAATATATGGAAACATAAGCTTTTGTATTAAAAACTTAAGGGAGGTTTTTGGACCCAACTACCAGTGAAATTGGACCTAGACAAGGATGCGTCCTGAGCCCTTTGCTCTTCAACATCTATATTGACGCCATAAAAAGTATATTTACGGGTGATTGTGATCCAACTGACCTTGATTGAACTTTTGTCAATCACCTTTTTCACGCCGATGACCTAGCCATGATGTGAAGTACGTCAGAAGGCTTAAAAAGTTCTCTCAGTAAAATTGAAGAATTCTTTTCAAAATGGAAACTTGCAATAAACATTGATAAAAACAAATGCATGATATTTAATACTCAAGGAAATTTTATAACAAATGAAATATTGAAGATTGCAGATCAAGACCTTGAACCTAGATTCTTGTCTAGATCAGCATTCTTCGTTGACATTACTAGTCACTCGAACAAGCTGAACAAGAAGCTTCAAGGACATGGTCAATTTGTGAATGTCATGTACGACCAAGTTGTCACGTTCCCGCTTATGCTACCTCTTTGGAAAACTCAGTTGATTCAAGAGAATTTGGTTCACTTTCCATCTTCAAATGGAGTTGATCGAGCTGTAGGGTACCAGTGAATTGAAACAGAAATACAAGGAGACTCATATCATCCAGTTTTATATGGAGTATCTCCATAGTGGATAACGGTTCATATCCAGGTCTGGTGCAGCATGCCAAGAAGATGTGTTGCATGTTTGGAAGTACTTCTCACCTTTGCGAAAGTCTCTTCTCAGACCCCGTTTACACTAGAGTGTTTTATCCGGATAAATTTTCATCCGGATAAAAATTTATGCGGATAGGCTCTCCGTCCACACGAGCGAATTTTATCAGTGTAGATATTTATCCGCTTTGGCGTACAAATATTTATCCTGCTACGAAAGCAAATAAATTTTTGTCCGGATAGAAAATTATCCGGCAAAGGGGAGTGTAAACAGTTTTATCCGGATAAATTTTTATAAGCATACACAGTGAGGCTATTCTATTTCATATTGAGGCCATTTAAATATGATAACGAAACGGCGCAAGAGAAAAATTGGCGCGCTTTTGTTAATATTTCATGTCATTTTTCCTGTTTCCTGAACTATCATGGATGAAAGTCTTCAAAACATCATACTATCTCTGTTTGCATTTTTAAGCTCAGTAGCTGCTGCAGCAAGGCTAAACGCTCTGCTAGCTGCTCTATCTGAGAGATCCTATAGAGTTAGCCAACGCAACTTGGAATCAATAGTTGACGATTGCAATTCACGACTACAAAGAATAAGTCGTATTCTGAAAGCTTCAAGAAAAAATCGACGACCACGCCGATTCTGGGAAAGACCTTGGAGCAGCAAAGCAGTTTCCTCATCTGTCCATGTGAAGTTTTTATCAGCCTTCTTGCTACTACCCGTCGATATATTCTCCGATTTCTTTGGCATTGTCGACTTTAAGACAGAAATATGAACGTGTTCACTCTGACATCAATGAAAAATATTTTCGCGCGTTCTTAAATCAAAGGTTGTGCGCATGCCCAATTAAAAACTCACCATTTAGTTTCACCGTGTAAACGGAGGGGCTAAATGGATAACATTTTATCCGGTACAACGTAAGTGGATAAAAATTTACCCGGATAAAAATTCATCCGGATAAAACACTCTAGTGTAAACGGGGTCTCAAAGATGAAGTATGCGAAGAGTTGACTGCGATCTTGAATGACTGATCAGCACCTTGAAGGCAACTTGCTCAGTACTTGGGATTAAAACGTACCTGTCCAACACTAGCAGTGCTTGGGGAATTAGGCGAGTTCCTTGTAACAATCTACATATTAGCCACAATGATGAAATCTGGCACAGAATCGCCACCCTAAGTAATAACTCACTGATTCACCTGGCGTACAACGATGTCAAAATGCTCCCAGGAGATAAAAATGACTGGTTAAACTCTGTTAAGTTTATCCTGAATTCCAAATATGGAACATATCTACGCTAATGCAAATCAAATTTCTAGTAATGTATTATTCAAGAAAACTCTTAAAAAACTTAACGAAATCTTCAAGAATCAATGGTATAAAAAAATAAATCAATCGTCAGTTAATAGCAAAAATAACTCTAAGCTACGAACGTATAAACTTTTCAAGAAGGATTTTAGAGCAGAGACTTATCTAAACCTCCCTAATTTCAAATACAGGAAGCTTATTGCTAAGTTTAGATCACCAACTTCGAATTGAAACTGGCAGACACCAGAAACTAGAAGTATCAAAGCGAACTTGTGACACATGTAGTTCAGGCAACGTGGAAAACGAAATCCATTTTCTTATCGAATGTGAGGCATGTCGGGACCTAAAACAGACTTTTCAGACCTTACTTCAATAGTGTACTAACACCGAAACTTATTAAATACACATTTATCGACATATTGCCCTGCCAAGACATTAGCAAGCAGAAAAAATTCGCGAAATTCTTGCAACAAGCAGCAGAACTCAGAATAAAAACCCTGAGTATGATACCCAAAACGTCTGCCCGTGAAAACACGTCAAGACCGAGTAAGTTGCCACAACCTACAATAATAGTCTTGAAATCATTTCATTGTATTTTTATTCATACATTATTGCTGTTTTGTTTTGCTTGAGCCGTATACAATGTAACTTTGTATTGTACCAAATATATATCAAATATAACAAGTTTCTTATATAAAAAATGAGTGTATTGTAGTCTAATATTTTTAAGAGATGTCTGCGAATATTTCTTTTGATTGTCTCTTAACGTGTTTGGGATATTTTTATGAATGTTCAAAGGGCATAAAAATGTAGCGTTGAAATAAAAAAATGGAACCAGTTAACAATTTGACCTCCCATCTCTTCTAGCTGTGTTTCCTTATTGCTGACAGTGGCGGATTTAAGGGGGGGCAACTAGGGGCAGTTACCCCTTCCTCAACGAGTTGAAGCATGTCTGACGCCCCTTTTTGGAAATTTTGCGCCCCTTTTGAAGAATGAGAATCAGATGAAAAAGTTTCTGAGACCGATAGGTTAATTTGCTTCAAGGATTGCCTCAAAGTTATGTTGTTTATTCTAAAAAGGTATCTGAAATTGTCGTATACAGCGTACTCTCGTAACCAGTTTTTTTTCAGTGCCCCCACTACCAACTGCCCCTCCTTCAAATTTGCTCTGGATCCGCCCCTGATTGCGGAGAGGCTACCTAAGGTTTTCGCTAGTGTTTTTTATGTTGAAGGAAGCTGGCTTTTTGACAACGCCTTTTTCGAAAAAAATAACCTTAGTCTGGGTGTCTGCAATACCCAAAGCACTTAAACAATCAGAGCATTAAAGAATGAATACTGGACTGAAGAGTTATAACAGTTTTCATGCTAGGATATTATTTGTTGCAAATTAGCGTAGTTGGATTCAACTGAGAGTATTTACGTTGAAACTGTCAAACTGTTTTGATTTAAAGGTTTTCGTTTCAGCAGAGGCGCTGCAAAAACCAGCCAACGTTGAGAAGAACGGTTTAAAAGGCGTGGCTCAAAATTTGGTAAGGAGAAAATTATATTGTGTTTTCTTTAATCTATTTTGTTCAGGCATTGAGGCTCTGCTTGTGTTTGTTAAATTGCAGCTTACTCCTAGAATTTGGTGAAAAACATTTTAATTTTTTTTAAATTTCAGTTTTTTGATTAAACAAGTTTCTATGTTTCTAATGAATCAGTCGGTTTTATTAACCATCTTTTAATACTTGGCAGTTAGATATATATTAAACGTAAAAATATTTTGTATTATTAAGTCTTCTTAGGCAGTATTGAAGTTAGTATTTATTTATTTATTGTGCAAATTTTGGGAAGGTTTGGAATTGATAATATTCTAAACTGCCTAAGAAGTTATCGAAATGTCATCTTTGCAATCTGAGTAGAAGATAAGAAGGACAACAAAATGATGGAGAACTAATTATGCATGAAAAAAACTTTTAATTACTAATCGCAAACAGATTTCCAAAGTATAGCGTATGCACAAAGTCCTTTCATTTATAATAAAACTGCCAACCTTTTGAACTAAATATTTTATCAATTACGATGTTTGTTCTATTTCTTCCTCCAGTTCACCAATTTGTTACTTTAACACGAGTAACCACAGACTTGACGTATTCACCTATTTCAATTTTAAAGATGGAATCTTGGAGTAGACATGAATTAAGCTGGCTTTACTGCATATCATTATTTATATTGATCCCAACAATTGCAGGTATGATTTTTTTAAATTTATTCTTTATGATTTTTCGCTTTGTAATACGTTTGTGTAAATTTCAGCATTTTGAGCAGAAAAGTTATAAAATATTTCTACAGTTTAATAATCGTTATGATAGACACCATCCATAAAAAATATCATTATGTTGGCTTGTAATTAGGCAAAAGCAACAATAGATTCATGACTTCAAACCATTTTCTGGATAAGATTGGAGAGCAGCTTTTTCAATCCTTGCTACTAAGGTGGATGGGGGAGGGGCATAACAGGGGTATGAATTTTTCAAGAGACTATAATTGGATGAAAAACTTTTTTCATAAAAAAGAATTCATGCATAAGTATCAATAAACGCTAAGAATATGGAAGATATTGTGATTATTTCTAATAGCATAGAATTATAATTTCATAATTTTTCGCTTTAATTAAGCTTTATAACTTATTTCTTTCTTCAGCTTGCTTTACTTTTTTTTTCCTTTTATGTCACTTGACTTCAAATAAGGCTCTTCCATTCTTTGGACTGCTTTCTCCGCTTTTAAAAAAAATTTCCAATGCACAAGAACAGAATATATAGTCGAGGCCCCTCTCGCAATTTCAAGGAAAAAGAAACGGATTTTTTGAAAATAATTGGCCTTGTATACTTCTGCCGTGCTCTGGCTAATGGGTGAAGTGATACGCAATTCATTCTCGCCTGTTTACATCTATACTGCTCGTCTGTTTGGTACTGTTGTTTTTTATTTACAAAAGCAACCATCGTCTGGAAACCGTATAAATTGCGTAAGAGAATGTTGCTTTCTTCCACTCTGCTGTTTTTGCCTCTTGGTTGTGTTTTGTTTTTCAGCAATTTTTCCGTGAATAGCCATCTTAGGTAAATAAACATCCCATAACGTTATTGGTTTTGTAAGAACATTCTTACGTAAGCGACTATTGTGCTTGAAGGATAAACATTACGTCTGAGATTTCGGTAGCTATCTTTATGGGACTGATTTTCCTGACACGATTTGTGTTTTCTATTAACGTCATTCCAGAACGCAGAGCCCAGTAAGCACGGTTGTCACACGATCAATGACCGTGAAAGAGGCCAACGTAAACAAAACAAAAAAGATTGCCACACCCAATGCCCACCCTCTTTCTAATTTATCTGCAAGGAAGGTCTTTGGAGCTTAAAGGTTTTGTCCGAATGAGGGAAAAGCATTTTCTGGACACTGTTGAGCAGTTTACCTCAGAACGTTCAGTTTTGAAATTGCCTGATGAAATTTCCTTTCACTCCATCTGTATTGCGCAGTTGAGCATGAATTCTTCTTGAGGAGAAGGAGCATCGAGAACGGGTACTACCAGCATGGAGCAAAATTTGTATTAAGTATCTATATCAAGTTTCATTCCTAGGCCTATGTTTGTTCTCAATGACTCTTGTCTGTCAGAGGGATTTATTGGCCATCTAAATGGAAATTTTCTGGGGGGTAAGCCTTTGTTTATGTAAAGGAAAGAAATATTGCCTATTGTTTGAAACAATGGAAACTCAATGGGGCTGGAGGGGCAATTGCCCCCCCCCCTCTAATCAGTATGCTAAATATGCCCTGGAGGGACTGGGAAATTCTTCGTTTCTTCTCTGTGTTATAAGCTTGATGAGATTATCAAAATAAATTGTAGTCAGTTACGAGCATTTTGCAACAGATTGGTTTAACAGCATCAAATATAATATTCTAGTTGCTCGCATTTTTATTCTTTTTTATCCAGGAAAGGCGTTTACTCGCAGCATCAGAGAAGATAATACATTGGACTCCAATCGTTTAGTGCTATGCAAAAAAGCACACAACGATGGACCTATATCTACTTGTTGGTCAAATCATGGCTGCTTCGTGAGACAAATATATGAACAAGGTTCAAAGAAATCAAAATTTATAACGTATGATTGCATCCAAAATATTGAGGTTAGCGTTTTAAATTTTCGCTTGACACTGCCCCTAGTGCGACGAGTGCTAAATTATTTCCAAATGGTTGGGGTATGACAAAAGAAAATTTTTGACAGGTTTAAAATGTGTGACAAGCCAAAATCGTTATTGACGGCTATAGCCATCCACCCCAAATATCGCCTACTTCTATACACCCTTTTGAAATGCAGAAATACTTTAACGTCAGAGTTCTGTGTGTTTTCTAAATGACTATTTGAAAGGTGACCTGACCTTGTGAAAGTTGACGGTGGCTAGGATGAAATCACGTTTGAAACACCTATTTAAATTTGGCAGCTCTTTCTAACCTAACGATGTTTTGTTTATGTATCATATGTCAATATTATAGCACATTATTGGTTCCTGAATATGAAAATATATGTGACAAAGAAGGGCTTTTGCCGCAAAGAATTTTTAAAATGTTAATTAGTAATGCATAGAACAAAACACGGTAAATATTACTTAAACGTTTTAAAATGTTGTGCTAAAGTCGTCTATTTTAAGGCCTACGGATTACAACCTCTTTTGAAAAACATTTATGCTAAAAATAAAATTCGTAACAATTTTGTCGTCACTTTCTAATCTGAGAAGGCCCTTTAGACTATGTGTTGAAAAACCGTATGAGCTAAGCAGTGACAGTTTTAAGGGGGGTCCAGGGGGCCATGGCCCCAGGTTACGGTAGCCAAGAGGGGCCCCATAACCAAATAAAATGATAGAAATTGTAATGAAAAAGGGCCAATGTTTTTGGCCCTTGGCCGGGTCCCGCAGTCCCTAAAAACGCTCCTGCAGCTAAGGGTTCATGGGGTGAGGGTAATGTGATCATGCAATCAATTATTTTGGATACCGAATGGTAATCGGCCGCGCTATGATTTGAACTAATTTCTAAAAGTGTGAATATTTTCAAAATTAGGCTACATCATTATGAGACTATTTTTCGTCGTTTTTCAAGTATAACAGGTCAAGCCAGGTGATGCAGCGTGCAGTTATATATTGTTGTATCTTTGATAGATTGTCAATTACCCTTGGTGCCAGAGCCTTCGATGAAAGAGTGAGTCAGTAAAAGCGTGGGTAGTAAGCACTGATTAGTGGTAGTAAGACCAACCCTCCCAAGGTTATTGTCAATTAGCTTAGTTCTCTTCCCTTTAATCAATTTGACCAGGTTATAAAAGGTTACAATAGTAATTTGACAAAGGCCCTTTCTTTGGTGAACTTTTTCGCCAATGCATTCATAAATTTTTTCGAATGCAATGTTTTCGAATAGTAATTCAGTTGTCACCTCCTTAACTTTTCTACATAAAATTGATGGTTCCCTCTTTATATCTGATGACTTCTCAACCACCTGTACTTTTTTCGATATAAATTGATAGACCTTGTTATCAATTGAAAGATTTCTCTAGTGCCTTTTTCTATTTCAGTTGTTTCAACATTTTATTACCTGTGGACTGAACTACAAGCCAGGTGGAAGTACGACATTTCATTATGGAATGGGGAAAGTCCGGGTCTTGTCTCTATGTTGTGGGAAGACATTTTGTAACAAGGCAATACCAACAGTACCTGGCGAAAATTGGATCAATTGTAAGTGAACGTGTACGGTTTGCTGCTTATAAATGATGCAGATTTGTAGAAAGATTCTTTGAGTTAGACAAATAAACTATATTTGCACTGATGAAGCCCCGTATGCCGGGGCGAAATATTAGCCTTCACTGATTTACGTGTATTTATTGTTGTTTATTCTCGGCGTATTGCGGTGTTTCTTAATTGCAACAAATAAACTATAGTTGGGCTTTTATGCAATGTAAGGGGAACCAGGTCAGTGTTGCCTGGCAATAGTGGTATCTATACATTAAGGTTTTTATTTAAAAGATGTATAGGACGATGAACCTGGTCAGTGTTGCCAGACAATCTTGGTATCTTATTGTTTAAACCAGGATCTTTGAAACAAAAGCCTTATGAAATTGTAGGTCGAAAAAGGCTTTTAAATACAAGGTGCTTAACCGAAAATAAGTCATTTTGTAGGTGTCAAACTCTTGGGTTTTTTTTCGCGGGGATCTTCTGTAACTGTGCCAAAGCAAATCAGTCATTTTTTTTCCAAATCCGCCGATGCATTCAATAGTTTAAAAATTATATACATCTTTAAGAATTGTTGTCATGTTTTATTATAAAATTGCTATAAAGTAGAATTTAAATTTTAAAAGCAGGGTTGGACAAGATGCTTTAAAGTTATCGATAATTTTGAAAACTGAAAAAATACTGCTGCTGGTTTGATGAGATCACATCGATTATAAAAAGAGAAGGAATTGTTGAAGAAACACAATTAGTTTATAAAATATATATAAATCGTTTTACCACAAGTTATGTTATTGTTACTAGCACGAAATGTCGGTTTTTATCATGAAATACAGTTTCGTTTGGACAAGAAATTTTTATTCTAACAAACTGTGATTTTGTCCGTATCCTGAATCTTAAAGAGAATTTTGTCTAAATAATACCCCTCCCTGGATACAAGCATAGTTATTACATGTTTAATTTGTTCATGCGTTGAGCATCCGTTGATACAACAGAGGAGTTACCTAGATTATACGTATATAGAAATATTATTCTTGATATATTTCTAGCTTAACCAGAAATTTCTTTCATCAAAAATCAAATCATGAAATGTTCATTTGTTTGTCTTCTCTCTTCCGCAGAACCGTTTGGATTTACCATATTGCCCTGTACCAACTTTATAAAAACCTGATGAACTGGTAGTAAGAACCGATTACCCAAGCTCAAAACAGGGAATGAACGTCTCTAACGAAGATAGTTGCTGTGAGTATTCTTTCAGATGAACAGAGGCAACTTGTGTATATTTAGATACAGTGAAAGAACAGAACAAACAGGGGACACTTTTCAGCACATGCGCAGATACCCTTTTACAAACGACATTTTATATGAAAATGCGAAGATATTATATTATGTGAAGTATTTTATAACCATTTTTGAAAAACCATCAGTATTTATTCATTTTATATAACCAAGTTGAAAATGTTTCTGATATTTAAGATTCTAATTTTTTTCTATTTATATCACTTTTTAGATTGAGACTTCAATTTCTTTAAACGATATCTATGTCTGATAAATTTCTTCACTTATCAAAGTAATGCCGCGTAACATTAAAATATTGTTTCATTGCAATACAGAGTTGAATGCTCTCCGCAAGATACATTTAAGAATTTTGCGGTTCGAATGATAAGATAAACTTTTAGAAACATATGTTTATGAACTTTCTTTACAAGTGAAACTTTTTACCGTCGGTTTTCCAGCCTCTTGGCTAAACTTTACCGGGTATAATTGCCCCTGCTTCTCTGCTGCCCCCATTGTCCCTAATGCTCCCATCGCTCCCATTGCCCCCTCTATTTTCACTCTTTTCGTTGCTCCCGCTGCTCCCTTTCAAGCTTTCTTCAGGCCTAGAAGCCTTTGTAAGAAACCAAGGTGTAATGATGATGAAATTCAGCTGTCCTCTCAAGCCATTTTCCAAAGTTGTCATTTCATAAGATTCAATGAACGTGCTTTATTTTGGGGGGGAGGGGGGTGGGCGTGCGGCTGTAGAACTGAATGAAAACGGGCTTGACTAGTGGTAAGTTTCTTAATTTTTTTACGCTTTTGGCCAAAAAGAGTGGTGCTATAGCCCCCAGCGTTTCTTGCTCTGTGGTGTATGATTTGTTGCTCGCTTCTATTTTATGCCAGTATGCCCTGGTACTTGCCCAGTCTGATTATCATCTACTCTATACTTATTCGGGAATTTGTCGTTGGTAGATTATAAGAAACGAAACAGTATATAGGGCCCGTTTATCAAACTATACGTTAAAAACGTGATCGATCTTTGCTGTCACTTTATTTCTGTGCTTAGATGCAGATATACTTCTAATTTTTATATTTAGCAGTCACCGTTTGAAAGACTTGAAATGGCTAACGATCATGACAAAAGTCCTGGCGTCAGGGAAAAGAAGGGCTTTGGATCCGCCATTTGAAATAGCTTTTACACCCATGCGGAAACGGACATGCATTTAGTAGGAATTACCACAAAGAAAGAATCTACAATCCAATTTGAGGCGAAATTTAGAATATAATTGAAGATATATCTCTCTACAGCTTGATTAAATGTATCAAACCTGATTAGATTAGGGAAACACATGGTCATATATGCATACTGTCGGCTAGTCTAATGACAAATGTTACTATATGAGTGTTCAGTTTGCTACTCTGATCCTTGCATTATCCACGATATAAGGTAATTAAATTGCAGATGACCTAGCTAGGTAGAAGATCACAAACCTTGGTGACGCAGGTCATTGGATTCGTAGACACAACTTATATTTTGGATTTTTTATCATTTAATTATACAGTGCTTATCCCCACTTACGGCTGACCCTTTTTCTTGGAGAGATTAATTTGGAAGGTGAACAGCGGCGAGTGCAGAAGATTCCGGGAATTCTTTGACTGCCATACGTAAACACCAAATATAGGCCGTTAAGTGGAATTTTCGAAGTCCACGTGGCTCTGAGTAGATGGACGCTAATCTAGACATTTTCGTAACCACGCCCATTGCGCACTGGAAACACCCGATTTGAACACGATAACGTCCCTCTCTTTATCACTTTCACTTTTCGAAACGATTCGTTTTATAACTATAGATGCAAAACAGGAATTTTTTAATATGAGAATTGTCTAATTAAAGTATTGTCTAATTTTGCAAATATTAAGATGATAATAGATATGATTTTGATTATCGAGGAAAGGTTGTAATTGAAGCAGATTCCTTGAAGGAACAGGGAATATTTTTCTAGAATTTTAAATAAACACCTTTTTGCAAAACATGTTTTTTTGAGTTATTAGAAAACTATTGTTTAAAACATACTTTCTATTATATTGCTGTATAGTTGTCAAAACGAGAAAAACACATTCACCTAAACGTACACAAGATATTTTTTGTTTGTATGCTGCAAGAAACCAAATAACGATTCCACGCAAAATTGAGAATAAAGCAAATATAAAGTTGTACAATGAACAAAAAACATTGCTAGGCATATGTCATACTTTAAAGAGTTTATGGTTCTTGAGGCTGAAATACACGTTCAGTTTTTTACTGATCAGTTTCAACTTCACAGATTTTTTCGTCAGTTTTGACTGACCGATCTACCCGTTTACACGATCAGTCAAAACTAATGACCTAGCCTTATTTTCCTTCATTTCCACGATGAGCAGCGACACGGAAGGTGCTGTTGTGGCATTAGTTTTAGCTGTAGTTTCAGAATGAAAAAAAAAAAGATTCGAAGCAGAAGAAAAAATCGTCATTGGTTGAACCATGGCTTAGTTAGGTGCCTATTATAGTTTATTAAATGAGCTTCACTTTGAAAAAGGAGGAACTTCTTCAAACTTCTGTTTTTTGCATATTGATATGAGTATAAAGAAGGGATTAACGCCCGCATCATTTTCAAAGGATGATTGAAATTCAGTTTTGACTGTAAAGTTGAACAGGTCCAACTTTAAAAAGCAGTGGCAGTTTAAACTGATTGCCGAAAAAAAAAATCAGTTTTTAGCCGTTTACACGATCAGTTTTCCTGCCATCAGTGAAAACGTACAGTTTAAACTGATCGTGTATTTCAGCCTTTACCAGTGGTTGAAGAGTTCACGTATGTGATCATCCAAATGCTAACCTTAAAATCGCATTCATGAAAATGGTTGCTAATTTCTCTTTATTGGGAAAAAGATGGGAGTGGTTTGACCTGGATCAAAATAGAATGAATATTAGGGAGATATTAGGCAGAAAAGACCCTGTTTCAGATACCCCTTTTATTGTTCTAGATTTCAATAAAAAATAAAAAGGAGTTTTCATATGAACTTAGTAGCTACAATAAATTGTACATAGTTTCTTTTATTTACATGAACGTTTATAATTTGGTTAAGAGTATCAAATCTTGAAAGGGAGTCTTGTTAGAAAGACCAAACATTGCTACAGATCTTGAGATTTAATTGATTCAGTGTTTAGTGTTGTGTGGCCATTTTCGTGGATTGTGACATCCTCTACCTTCCCTCTTTTCTAGGAAAAGAAATGAATTTGAATTCTTGGATCAAATAAAACAGCTTGAAAAAAACCTGCAAAAACTCTTGTTACCTCAAGTTTTTTTTCACAAGCTAACGTTTGTTCCTTTAGTTTAGGCAAAATTCAATTTATTAGCTTATATAAATAAACGTTTGGCGGATTTAAGCAACAATGATTTTGGTGCCACACCCTCCAGGTCACTGTTAAATGATAGAAACGCATTTCAGAATCCAGTTTTTTAAGGATTGGACTGCTTTAGCTTTTTAGTTTCTATTTTATCAGGAATGTCTCAAGAACGTGAAAGACTTTTCTATATAAAACCCAAAACGGGAAGAAACTACTGAATATTGAGGCTCTCCTGCGAGCGAAGCGAGCGGAAAATGTTTGCGACGATGCCCTTGAGATTAGCTTCTCCCACCCCCTCCTACGCTACTGACGAGAAGATAAATACTGATGAAAGATAAATAAAGTAAAATCTCGGCGTTACTTTGTTACAACTGACAAAATTAAACAAAATTTACCGAAGGACACAAAGCTATTGGGGGGTGTCGCATCCCCTACACTCCTCCCCCGCTAAATCTGCCCCTGAAGCTTGGTCGCCATTGTACATTGCTATTTTGTTTCAACAATCTTCAAAATTAGAGAAATGGTTGATAGAAAAATCTAAAGTGTATTAGTCTATAGAAAAATCTATCTATGAAATCTATCTATCAATAAAAATCTAAAATGTAAAGTGTAAAGTGTATAGAAAAATCTATCTATTAGTCTATTTGTAGACAAGTTACAAAGTATGGTTTGCTTTGTGAAAACCTGGGCGTAGCTCATATTGTTCTTCAGGGGGAGGGAGGGGCTCACGAGCCTTTGTTTCCAGTGATTTTTTCCGTCTTATTTGTTCCTAACAACAGTGTCCCCAAAAAAGTTCCTTCCTATTGTACGGATAACTGAAAGTATCTTTTTGTTCCAACTGAAATGAACAGACTAATGATTCTACAACAAGCCAAGGGTATTGACCAACTAATCCTTTGTTAACCTTTTGTTGTATTAATGGGCTCTATATAAATCACACGAACTTTTTCTTTATTGAAAGGAAGTGACTGGTTAGCATTGACTGTTATTAAGTTTATGTTACACACCCATGGAAAGTCGGTTTCTAATATCCGTTGTCCTTTATTGAATATCGATATTCGGAAGGCAACGATCAGCACATGACACGGGGGTTTAAAGCTACTTCAAAAAATACAATAAGCAGGATAATCGAGGTACCAGGAGCGCCTCTGCGGGGGCGTTGCGTAAGACAACACCTACCTCTATTGTCATCCAATGATCATTTTAAGACGACTGGCTTAGGATGAACCTCATTTCAAGGGTAAAAATCTCCCCGAATTCTATAAAATTCAAGATGTTGTGGAATTTTGGTTCACTGAATTTTGCAAATGCCAAACTTGACAGCCATAGTTGGCTTCAAATACGCTTTGCAAAGTGTCCTTTCTACTATCTATTTGATATTCGTAACGAATTTTGTCATACTGGCGTTCAAATGGCCTGTGATCGTCGCAACTACAACCAAAGATAACCAAATATTTTCAGGGATATAAGGTTGACTTTTACGTTTTGTAGGATATGCATATAGTCTGTAGAAGATTTGTATGCTGTAGCTAAATGTATACTCAAAAAAGAACTCCAGAAACTAGCCTAAACAAATAAAGAATGAAAAGAGAAATAACGAAACAGAGAAGAGACAAGACACCTCACGCCCAAGATATTGCTAATGAGAGTATTTTCTCTATTTCACACTATATGAATGAATACGAAAAGCTACCCTTACAAATATTTTCACCTTGAAACAATGTATATAAGGCTACAGTAATTTCTATCAACGGGTAAATAGAATATGTGCCTTATTTGAACAACGGGATACTACGCCGCCACTAGTTGTACATGGATAACAAAAGGGCCATTTACCTACACACAGTTCTAAATATGGCACCTCTGAAAAAGTGGCAAATTATCCAAAAGTTGTGTTGTATTCTAACATCCTACACTGCGCAATCCGATGTATCTGACTGAGGTGAATGTACCTTTTGTGTCAAGACTGAAAGAACTGTTCGTTCGTGTGCTAGTGATATCATTTGGCCTTTCATAAACATAGAAATGAAGGCATTGTTCTTTCTTTATTAAGAATAACTCACGGCTATTCAACATGCGATAAATCGACGCAGTGCCACTAGAGAAAGAAACGGAATATCTTGCTGCTAGTTAGAGAAAGGTCCCTTGTAGCTCTTCCTTTCAGGGAGTAA